CGCCCCGCGCGCGCGGCTCATACGGCCACTGCAACCCCAGGGACGGGCGAGAGCTGGGGGCCGGCGGCGGCTCCTTTAAGCGCGGCTCGCGCCACGCCCCCGCACCACGCCCCGGAAGCGGCGGCTGAGCTGCCCCGGAAGTAGACGGCGCGCTGCGGCGGGGTGGGTGCAAGATGCCGCTGCCGGTTCAGGTGTTTAACCTGCAGGTAACGAGTCGAGGTTGCGCCCGCGCCCGCGCCCGCGCCCGCGCTCCCGCCGCGGGGCAGGGAGGGTGGGGAGGACGGGCAGTTCAGGGCTCCGCGCGCAACGTTCCCGGACAGCGCTCGGGCCCCCCCCTCCGCCTGGCGCCAACGCTCGTCGTCTCGGCGGGCTGCAGTCGGGTCGCGATGCGGGGCAGCCCGGCACCCAGCTCGGCCTCCTCGTCGGCCTCAGACCTGGGCAGCAGGTCAGACCTACGGCCCAGCACGGCCGGGGACTGCGGCCTGAGCGCCAGCCTGTCGGCCTGCACGCTGCTTTCCGAGGTACCGCGGCGGCAACCTGGCCCTTGGCCGAGGCTCCGGGCCGCCCTGAGATGACTCCCTCCCCTTCTCCCTGCCGTGGTGTGACTCTTCCCCCAGTGTGGCTACCCGGGGTCACGGTGGCACCCGTCCCTGCGCTGTGGCCTGGAAGAAACTGTATCAGGACGGGGCTTGGGAACGCGTAGGAACCTTCCCGATGTCTGCTTTCCTGCTTCAGAGTTGGGCATTGAGGAGTTTCTGCTCATAAGGGCAGGATAAGGGCAGGGAGTGGGGAAGGGTCGGGAGGGTACACGGGTGACAGCTGTGGTGGGAGAGTGGTACCAACTTGCTTTGAAAGGCCTTGGGCAGAGCTGACCACAGAGCACATGAGGGTGCCTGAGGTGCCAGGGTGACCTCCTGTGTTTCAGGGGGCTGTGGAGCCCATGCAGATTGATGTAGACCCACAGGAGGATCCCCAGAATGCGCCTGATGTCAACTATGTGGTGGAGAACCCCACTCTGGTATGGAGCCCAGTGGGCAGGACTGTGGTTGTCTTGGTCTTGCTAAGAGTCCAGGATAAACTCCAGACTGTAGCCTACAGCCCAGTGAACTGATCAGGTCATGTCTCTCTCTGACCCAGAAACCTTTGAGGTTTCCTTCATCGGCTCACGTTGGGATCTTGGCCCAGCCTGAGACCCTCACCCACTCACGTGTGGAGCTCTGCTTGTTGAATGCCACCTGAGGGCAGCCTGGTGGGGCCAGCCTATTCAATGCTGTTTTGGAGGCCAGTTTATTCAATGCTGTTTCCTCCCTGCTCAGCTCAGCTCAGCTCAGCATCTGGCACTTACAAGTACCTGTTCCACAGCCCCTCTCAGTGCACAGTTTGACTCTGGAGAACCCCAGCCCACCCCAGTGCTCTCTCTCTCAGCACCTGGGATAGTGGTTGTTCTGGTGCCCCTGTGTCCTCACCTCCCAGGCCTGGGTGAAGACTTGGCATCCTAGCCACGACACAGGCTCTGGGCTCGGGTTGTGGGCTCCTACCTTGCACACCCTGGCTGACCCTCTTTGCCCTCCTTATGCCCCCATACCAGGATCTGGAGCAGTACGCGGCCAGCTACAGTGGCCTGATGCGCATTGAGCGGCTGCAGTTCATTGCTGACCACTGCCCACCACTGCGGGTAGAGGCCCTAAAGATGGCCCTCTCCTTCGTGCAGAGGACCTTCAATGTGGATATGTATGAGGAGATCCACCGCAAACTCTCAGAGGCCACCCGGTAAGGCCAGGGCCTTGGATGGGGGCAAATATCCAGGTCTGGGTGTGGTATGTACCCCTTGGAGCCAGCCTGGGTAGGGCCCATCCTGCACCCATCATGGTGAGCATCTGGCAGCATTTCAGCATGTGCTGAGAAGTTGCAGCAGATGATAATAGGCCCCACTCTCACTCCTGACTAAATGGCTTGCCCATATCTTGGCTTGCTGCTACTGTATGTGTTAAGTTACTGACTTTGGGAGGGGCTGGAGGGGCTGTCTTCCCCTCCTGGAAGCCAGGCTGCACTGGGCTGCCAGTCTCCTTGAGCCTTCCTACTTGGCTGTGGGCTCCTGGGTCAGCTATTATCTCTGTGCCCCTGGTGCAGACTAGCTTTCTAGGGTACGGGTTGGGGACAGGCAAGGGCCATCCTCCTACCTCCCTGACCCTGGTGACCATTGCCATCCTGATAGCCAGGTCTTCCCTCAGGGAGCTGCAAAACGCACCAGATGCCATCCCTGAGAGTGGTGTAGAGCCCCCGCCTCTTGACACAGCTTGGGTAGAGGCCACTCGGAAGAAGGCCCTGCTGAAGCTAGAGAAGCTGGATACAGACCTGAAGAACTACAAGGGCAACTCCATCAAGGAGAGCATCCGGTGCTGACCTGCCCAGGGAATGGGAGGTGGGTGGCTGGGCCCACCTGGCCCCGATCAGTGACCACTCATGGTCATGCCTATAGGCGCGGCCATGATGACCTGGGTGACCACTACCTAGACTGTGGGGACCTCAGCAATGCTCTCAAGTGTTACTCTCGGGCCAGAGACTATTGCACTAGCGCCAAGCACGTCATCAACATGTGCCTCAATGTCATCAAGGTAGCAGGCAAGTGGGTAGGTGGGGGGATGTTGCTGAGGAGATGGCACCTGGGCTGTCTCACCCTGCCCACTTGGCCACCAGGTCAGTGTCTACTTGCAAAACTGGTCTCATGTGCTGAGCTACGTCAGTAAGGCTGAGTCAACACCAGAGATTGCCGAGGTATGTACGGTCCACCTTCTCCAAGTCTGCCCTTGTCCCCTCAGACTGAGGTGGGGACTGGGCATTGCGCTTGTTATGCTGATGGTGAGGGTATGCCTCTCTGATGTATGTGGCCTTCCCCTGCAGCAGCGCGGAGAACGGGATAGCCAGACCCAAGCCATCCTCACAAAGCTGAAGTGTGCTGCAGGTGAGGTGTTCTATCATCTCAGATGCTGTACCCCAAATCGTTGGAGCCCTAGGGCAAAATCTAGCCCTGTGTAACAGTGAAAACTATTTGACAGGCTACAGGGTGTCGCTTGATGCACCTGCCCCACCTCTACAAGTATAAATGACTCCTGTGTCCACCCAGGGCAGGGAAACCAGCATGTGACTGGAAAGTCCTCTAGCTTCGCTGAGCTGAAATGTTCTTCATGGGCATCACAACTGCAGTTTTAGGCTCCCTTGGGCACCTGATTTCAGAACATGTTCAACGTTCCTAGGCACTGTTACTTGTATTTCATAGCTAGAATTTCTGTCAGGGAAGTAGCCCTGGGAGCAGGAGAGGCCAAGAGGGCACCTGGCAATGGCCATCCCCTTCCTGGCCCCAAGGCACTGGCTCCTTTGCGGTGGGGGAGCCTCATTTCTCTACTGGTTCCCTCTAGGCTTGGCTGAGCTGGCCGCACGCAAGTATAAGCAGGCTGCCAAGTGCTTCCTGCTGGCCTCATTTGATCACTGCGACTTCCCTGAGGTAAGGAGAATTGGGAAGAGCCCCCACAGGGCCTCGGGAGGCAGCCAGAGCTCCTAAGCTGGGCTCTTTTTTTTGGTCTCCACTGTATTCTCTGAGTGCGGGGTGGGGGTGGCTGGCTCTGGGCTTCCCTGCCCATCCCAGTGAAGCCCTGTGGTCCCAGTTTTGGACTCACCTCCCTTTTTGTCCCTCAGCTGCTTTCCCCCAGCAATGTGGCCATCTATGGTGGCCTGTGTGCTTTGGCCACCTTTGACCGGCAGGAGCTGCAGCGCAATGTCATCTCTAGCAGGTAGGTAGGGGTGGGGGGCTGTCCCTCCAACCTGGTGCCCCTTCCTGGGAACCAGGGTCCTGCTGGCCCTGTAGGACAGGGAGGGCAGGCAGAGGTGTGGGGCTGAGCACCCTGGCACCTGCAGTTCCTTTAAGTTATTCCTGGAGCTGGAGCCACAGGTCCGAGACATCATCTTCAAATTCTATGAGTCCAAGTACGCGTCGTGCCTGAAGATGCTGGACGAGATGAAGGTGGGGGCTAGGGCGTGGCCACACGGAGGCTGGATGGGTCCCTACCAAGGAGGCCCCTGACCAGCTCTCCTCTCCAGGACAACCTGCTCTTGGACATGTACCTGGCTCCTCATGTCAGGACCCTGTACACCCAGATTCGCAACCATGCTCTCATCCAGGTAAGTGCAGGGCAGGGGCCAGGCAGAGTGCGGGCGCACCCAAGAGCAGCAGGCAGCTGCCGTCACCTCTGCTCCTCAGTATTTCAGCCCCTATGTTTCGGCCGACATGCACAAGATGGCCACAGCCTTCAATACCACTGTGGCGGCCCTGGAGGACGAGCTGACACAGCTCATCCTGGAGGGACTCATTAACGCTCGCATCGACTCGCACAGCAAGGTGGCTGCAGGGTGAGGCTGGGGTGAGGGTGGGGGCGAGGCCTGCTGGTCCCCACTGAGCCTGCACTGCACCTGCGCAGATCCTGTATGCAAGGGATGTAGATCAGCGCAGCACCACCTTTGAGAAGTCCCTGCTGATGGGCAAGGAGTTCCAGCGACGGGCCAAGGCCATGATTCTGAGGGCAGCTGTGCTGCGCAACCAGATCCATGTCAAGGTGAGCAGCCCAGGGGGCTGGGCATTGGGCAGCAGCCATATAGCCAGTGGCTGTATAGCCAGTGGCTGAACAACTCCTTGTCTACCACAGTCCCCGCCCAGAGAAGGCAGCCAGGGAGAGCTGACGCCAGCGAACAGCCAGTCCCGTATGAGCACCAACATGTGAGGGGTGCATACCTCTCCCTGCCCCGCAGAAGCGGCACCCAAGCTGGCTGCCTGTTCACCTCGAGAAGAGGCTCCATGCTGCCTGCAGCCACTGGATGGCAGCCCCTCCACCCCCTTGCACCTTGTTCTGGGGCCTGGGGAAGTGGGTAGGGTGTCCGCTGTAGCCATGTGGGACTGACCATTGGGCTCTGTCTCAGACAGACTGCAGTGCCTGGCCCTGTTGGGCAGCACAGGCCCCAGAACCCCTCCTGTCTCTGTGCTGCCTTGGTTGCAGGCAGCCTGCCAGTCCATTAAAGAGCAGACTGACTCATGGCCCCTGGCTCTGCTCTTTCCTGCTTCAAGGTGCCAGTCAGAGAGGTTCTCCCTCAAGCTGTCGTTTGGGACAGGGCCTTGTTCTGCCGCGGTGGCTTCTCCTGGACTTTGTTTGGAGGCAGGCAGGGACCTGGGCCCTTGCTGTTCTCTGTAGACACAGCTCGTTTCCTGGCTGACCCAGGAAAGCAGCTCCAGACTTAGGGGTCCTGGTGGAGCTGGGGGGTGTTGGGCTGTACACACACCTTTCAATGGTTTATTATGTTTAAGAACACAAGCTGTGAGGATAGGGCAGGTCCAGCTTGGGCTCCCAGCACAGGCCAGGGCAGATACCACCTGTCTCTTCTCGTCCAAAAGCAGGAGGTTCCCTGAGTAAAGGCACATTCTTAGTGCGAAGTGTCCAGGCTTCAGCACAGTCCTGGGTTGTGGGTGGCTCCTGCGGTCTCCTCAGGCCAGGGCACTGCCTATGACTTCAGAGAAGGCACCTGGTGCTCCAGACCCCACCTGTGGAGGCTCCTGCCGCCCGGGCTGGGTCCCCTTCCAGGCCAGAGACTTCTCCAGTTTGGTTTTAAAAAGCAATCCGTGACCTAGCAGAGATGGTGCAAGAGGGACCTGGGGTTAGGAAGCCTGCAGCCTGCAGGAGGTGGAGGGACTGTGGCGCAGCATCCCTTACCTGGGCAATCTGCTGTCTCCTTGAAGGCTCGCTTCTTGCAGCAGCCACGGCACAGGTTGAACACACACCTGTTGCCCTGGCACAGGAAAGCTGGTGAGCCTGAGGCTGATGGCCTTCTCAGGCCTGGGCTGGCCACCTGGGAACCTTGGCCAGATGCCCATGGCCTGGAGACAGCCCCAGGAATCGCAGCATAGCAAAGGCACTGTCCCCTGGCAGTTCTTCCCACCTATTCTCACTCCAGGCCTGGGCAGGGGGCAGAAGAGGCTGTTTCTCCTCTGGTAGGATTGGAATGAAGGCAAGGGGCTGCCCAAGGCTGTGCCCTCAGCCAGGCAGTGCTAGACCCTGAGCAGTGCAGGGATCCCAAGAGGGATCAATGGGGGCTACCAAGCCCACCCATCTGGGAACTGGCATATCAACAAAAGGATCATCTCACCTTTGGGTTTCCACACTGGTCACACTTTGCATATTTTGCTGGAAAAAGAAAAAAGGTGCTGACTGATTTTATGTCTGAGAAGGGCCAAAGCAGCCAACAGTGGCTACCATCCACCTCCACAAAGCTCACTGGGCAACAGCAGGGGTAGGAGGCTGGGGAGGGCAGAGAATGTGAGGTGGCTACATCTGCCTTTCCCTTTGTGAGGGCTGGGTGGGAGGATGCAGTGGGTACAATCTTGCCAGGAAACTAACAGAAAGCAGGTGGGCTGGGCCACAGCACAGACTGGCCCCATCCCACCCTCCTCCGGGGTCCAGGGAACTGCCGCCCTCCACTGTGTGTCCCACAGCAAATGCCAGGACAGGCTAAATCAGGATCTCAGCCACAAGTAACACTTCCTGTGGCAGCTGAGGGCGCAGTGCGGCAGGTAGGAACTGCTGGCCGGCTTTATATGGTGACAGCCCCTGGAGGTGTGTGCGTTTGGGAGCTCTTCTCCCCACGCTTGTAAAGCTGTCAGACAAAGCTGCTTGGGAAAGGAAAGGCAACCAGAGCTGAAAAGCTGTGTGGGATGCTGAGGGCCCCAGGACTTGGGCTCATGGCAGTGTGATCCTTGAGGCCACACCAAAAAGCTGAGTGAACGTGTCTGTCTGCTGGAAAGCATTCCACCTAGTCTGACCACCTTCCTGGATAGAGCCTCTGTCCAGCGGCTCGGCTCCTGAGACCCCAACGTGCTCCCTCAGGGCACCAAGCACCCACTCAGGCTGCTCATGCTGCCCCTTACAGGGTTGGGGTGCACGCCAACCCTGTAAGGGCCCCAATCTGCAGACAACCCTACTGGGACCTGGGCAAAACCAAGCTAACCAAGCTCTGCATCCATGACACCACAGCTAGAGAGGGCTCTGAGGCCCTACATAGGGTGCTGGTATTCAGAACTGAAGTCCCCTGAGGGGGACGTCCCCAAGTGTGTTTCTGGCTCTGGACCTTGAGTGTTGTGGACAGAGCCTGGATGAGCTTCTGCTCCTAGCAAAAGGGAAGCACAGCCATGAAGAGGCTTCCTGGGTGGCCCTGCCCACTCCTCCCTGGCCCAGGGGCAGGTGTGATGCTTACGTTTCAGAGAGGGGTCAAAGGTCTTGTGGGGGTTCCTCAGCTGCTTCTTCTGCTTGTTCTTGGAGAGGCCCTCTGTGCTCCCTTCCTCCTCCTCCAGGGCTCGCTTGCTGCAGCCACCACAATTCTCCTTGCTCCCTTCCCTGGGTCTGAAGGGAAAGGGCAATGGGCAGAGACAGACACCCCCAGAGCTGACCAGCTGGTCACAGTCAGATGGGCTGGAGCTCAGGTAGGGGCCCAAGTGAGGAAAGCTGAATGGCCAGTGTGGGCACTGGTGCCTAGGACACATGTGTCTCCCCCTCGCCTGACCCGCTTGAGCCAGCACACAGCCCACAACAGTGGAGTGAGTGGCCACACAGGCTGGGTCCCTGAGATGGTGTCCAAAGCTCAGGAACCCAAGGCCTAAGCCACCAAGCCTGGGCAGGGCTGTGGCCAAGAAGACAGCCTACCTCACCTCCAAAAACCCATAGGAAGCCCCAAGGATGTAACTCCTCACCCTAAAGACAGATCTAGCCAGGATCAGAAGAATACAGAGAAGCATCTGAGGAAATTTAAGTGTCCACGGACATGACAAGGAAGTACAGCCGAACCACCAAGTCCCTGCAGCAAGCCCACAGAGCAGGCTGGGCCCCATGGCCCCACACAGAGATGGCGTCTCACGGCACACCACAGCTTCCCCCCTCTCCTTTCTCTCAAGAGCCTTCATGATGGTGTGTATCACTCATTAGCTCACCCTGGCCGGACATAGGGCTGGCAGATCCAGTGGAAGAAAGGCAAGTCGCCTGCTGGCTGCACTCCCTCCTCCTGCCTGGACATGTCCTCCTGTGAAAATGTGAGGGCTCCATCAGAGACCTGAGCCTCTGGCCCACCACATACCTGGGCTCCCACAACTCCACACCTGCCTGACACCGAAGCTTCAGTGCGTGGCTCACAGCAGCAATGCCCTCCAGGGTCTTCACTTTGGCAAGTTCATCTCGAAGTTGCTGGTGCACCTGCAGCCTAAGGCAAACACCTGTCACAGGAATTGGGCCTGGTCCCTGGCTCCCAAGCACAGATGCACAGCCAGTGTCTCTTCCATGCAGGCTCCCCTCTGCTCTCACTTCTACACTCGGCCTTCAGCACTCAGTGGCAAGTTGGGCTGGGGAAAACCCTGCACATCCCAGGCATGGCTAGCAGGCCTGGGCAGCCCCTCACAGCTCTGTGTACAGAACTCACGTATGGTGCCACAGCTTGAAGAGATGGGCCCGGACACAGGACAGTGGGCACGGGTGCAGCCGCACAATGTCCAGATACTCCTCTGCCAGCTCCCACACTGCAGGACTCCGGCCCTCAAACAGGGCAGGGTTATGCAGGTTTCCTTCTGGAAAAGAAAGGATGTGGAGAGGAGCCGTGGACACCTTCTGGCCACTCCCACTGAGGACAGGACAGGGCCAGCCACCCAGGACAAAAGAGGGCAGAGGTATCTATCTGTTCACCTGCACTCATGACACCCTGCACGCCTGTGTCCTGGATACACCGTTCCACATCCTGCAGGCTCCGGATGTTCCCATTGGCAAACACAGGGATAGCCACAGCCTTCCTGTCCAGACAGAAAGGCCTGACCCTGCACCCCACCAGGGCAGTGCCAACGAGGAGATGGGGCTCCCAAACTCCATCTTGGCAGGGCCCATCACCTGCCATTGCATAGCTGCCTGACCTCCACCCCTGCCCAGCAGTCCCCAGTCCCTCTGGCTGCTCATGGAGCATCAGGTGTTCTGGACACCCAAAGGTGTGGCACTGGGTTTATGTCCTCCCCGCACCAAGAAGCCCAAAGAACTGAGGGCTGCAGCCCACTTACCGCACGGCCTTAATATGCTCCCAGGATGCTGCCCCTGATAGTGGCCCCTTCTGTTCCTTGGTGCGCCCATGCACAGTCAACAGCTAGGACAGACCAGCGCCCACCTCAACCATGCTCCAGGTTGAGCCCCCGAATCAACTCCAGGAACACTTTCGCTCAGTTTCTTATTCCCCCAGCTTGGTAGAGAAAAGGCCATCCTAGGCCTGGCTCAGTCCCTAGCCCTAAAGGCCCTGGACACTTCACCCTTTGGGGGAAGCTAGGCTGCACCCAGGATGCTCATGCTGAATCCCCAGGCCAGGAGGAGGCAAGCATTCTTGTTACCTAAGGCTGAGGACTTGGGGGGGATGGTAGTGGTGGTGGTGGTGTGTGTGTGTGTATCTAGAAGGGTTGCTGGGAACAGTCTCTTCCAGGCCTACACTGGGCCAGGCTCAAAACACAGAGGACACACAAGGAGCCAGATCTGCCAGCAGCCACCTGGCCTCTGCACAGGGGGGAAAGGTGCTAAGCCCCTTCAAAGGATGCGCTGGCTGGTGTCTGAGGCACTGGGACATGGTGGCAAGCCTAAGGGGACTCCCTAAGGGAACAATGATCTGGAGCCAGGATGAGAGGTCTCAAGAGCCAGAATGACTCACAGCCCCTTAACACAGGAAATGTCCTGGTGCCTCCCCAACGCAAGGGAAGAGGAGGCAGGAGGGCAGAAGCCTGCTCTGCTCTGCTGAAGCTCCATGGAAAGAGCTGGATGTTGCTGGAAACTGAAGGCTGGCTGCATGCTTGGCCTGATACTCACACCTGCAAGCCAGGGCCCTCACCTGGCAGCCGGCCTTCTCCAGCATCTGGGCGTACCTCACGGTCTTGTCAATCTCAGGAAAGACACGGATTTTGCATGTGACAGGAACAGAGAGTTTCTCATGGGCCAGCTGAACTGGGAAGAGACAAGGCTTCTGAGAACCATGGTCCTGCTATAGGTGGCTAAGCCTCCAAATTCCAAGCCCAGACAGATACCAGTTTTCCTAGAAATCAGCTCTGGCTGTCACCTGAGCTGGCTTTTTCCTTTTTTTTTTCCAGTACCAGGAATTGAACTCATAACCTTGTGCTTGCCAGGCAGGCGCTGTGCCGCTGAGCTAAATCCCCAGCCCCTGAGGTGGCTTTTTCTTGTCCTCACAAGTCCTTTTTTTCCCCCAATCAGATTTTATTGGTACATTTTACATACACATAATGATCACATACATCATAGTCCTCACAAGTTCTTGTACAGGCCAATGCCAGCTCCCAATGATGGCAGCTGAGAGACTCAGCTCTGTCCCCTAGGGGTTGAGGGGGCTGGGATACAGCAAGATCACTCTCCCATACCTACTGTCTTTCAGGGGGGCGGTGGTACTCTCCAGAGCCACCTCCTTCTAGCAGAGATTGTTGCAGCCAGGGCCCCAGAGTGATCCTAGGACACTGATACCTCCGTCCTATCCTGAATCCCTGTCCCTGGGCCTCCTTCACCCTCCCACAGGGTGGCCTATGGCCAGCTTACTCATTCTTTGGAGCAGGTCCCACTCCTCCTGCAGGAAGGCACCATAGTGACCTGTGGAGGACAAATGTGGCTCTCTGACACTGGTGTGCAGGCTGCCTAAAACAGCCCCCCTTAATGTGGCCTGCTGGGCCTCCTGTATCCACACAGGCCATGAATTCCCTGCCAGACAGCCCCCTGGGACACCAATGACCCTACAGCCAGGCTGCATGCCAAATGGCAGCCCTCACAGCAACCCCAAAAGCAGTAGTCTCTGGCTAGGGCAGGAGGGCAATCATGGAATCCAGCAGTTTACCAGCATCCAATTTGGAGGCTCTTCCTGCTGAGCTGTACAGAATACACCTGCCACGTGGTCTAGGACCAGAAGTGCCAGCTGAGGGGCCCAGTGAGGAAGAAAAATCTGTGACCAATGTGACCTGAGGCAGGGTGCAGACCTCCCACTGCCAAAGCATATTTATCTGGGGAGGAGCTCAAGAGAGAAGTGATGAGCCCCGACAGAGCCGCCTGCCTGAGCCAGCAGAACTTGATTCCCAGCCCCAGTGAGAACAGCTCCCTTCTAGGGCAAAGAACACCAGCCTCAGTGACTATGGTGATCAAAAATAGGGCCAGCCATCCCCCGGTGCCCACTCCCACCCAGAGGGCTGGACAGAGCCTCTAATACAAGACCCTACAAAGTGAACTCACCCCTCTTGGCTATCATCTGTGGGCAGCCCAAGTTCAGGTCGATGGCATCACAGTAATCCTGAGCTAGGAAAGCCGCCTGGACAAACACCTCTGGGTCATTGGCACAGAACTAGAGAAGACATGGAAGTCACCCACAAGCCAAGCCAGGCCCTGGTCTTTACTGCCCAGGCTGTTAAGCCCTGTGACAGGTTCCACCATGACCAGAGAGAGTGTAGTTCAGGGGTTCACTGTTGGTGTCCTGTCCTACCAACATTTACAATGACAAAGCAGGTTGCATAATCCCACACCACTAGGAATTACAGATCTACAGAATTCCTTTTAATATATAATTGAAGACAGGAGAGCTGACTTATAAAGGGCAGTGCTCATTGTTCTGAGAAGAGAGGGTGAGAGAACTTTGAGTTTCCAGTCTGTCACCCAAGCTGTCCCTTCACCAGAGGGAGTCCCCAGGGAAGGGGCTGCTTTCTGGCAGCCAGGCTTTGCTCCAGTGTCACTGCTGGGGTTGTGTGGATCTCTCCCTCTCTGCAGATAGGAAAAGCTGAGGGTGCCAGCCCCAGGCAGAAGGAAAAGTGCTCCACAGGGCCCAGGGCTTGGCTGCCATCTGGGGGCAGGGGCCCTCTGCCCACCTGCACGATGAGCGGCCGGTCCTCAGGGCACACGTCACAATACAGGTTCTCCTTCCGGTAGTTGGCATCTCGCACGAAGACCTGGGCATGCAGCATGGGGGTGTAGCAGAGCTGTGCCCCGTGGCGGCGGCTCAGGAGCCTCCATGCCAGCTCGCTCTGGTCCACCATGGGCGCCACCACGTGGCGGGCGCCCCTCAGGGTGCGGCTCCAGAACTCGAAGCCCTGCAGCTTGGGCATTGTCTCCACAATGAGGGAGGGAGAAGACCAGGCTCAGCCGTGGCCACGAAGCCCAGTGTGCGGAGCCAAACCGGGTGAAGGCACACGGCTGAACTCCGAGGGAGTGACCACTCTTGCCCAATGGGCCACACGCTCGGGCAGGCGGTGTCCGGCGGGTGCCTTACCCGGGACGCGTGCGGAGATGACACGGCCGGCTCAAGGCAGCGCCCCGGTCGTGTGTGAACAGTGAGTTGAGCGGATCCTCGCGAGGCCTGCGCCGCCCTTCTCACGGGCAGGAGCACAGGGGCGCGCCGGCCCCCTCCCCGCTCCGCCCGAGGGCCTCCTGCCCTGGCTCCCGGCCCCGTGGCCGCGGCGCTCCCGACCGGCGGCGAGGGCTCGTCTTGGGCTTACTTCCCTCACCCTGTGGTGCGGGACAGGCCGGGCTCGACCAGAGAGCCAGCGCAGACAGGCACGCTCCGACAAAGGAACACGGCACCCCCTCGCCCCCGCCTAATCCGCAATGCTGCCGAGAGGGCCCCGCGGAAAGCGACTGCCAGCCTGCGCCGGGCTGGGCCACACCGCATCACCGGAAGTGCTGCGGACGGAAGCACGCTGCCAGAAGTTCCCGGCGGTGCGATGGAAAATGTGACCCTGGGAAACCGCGTCCGGTGCCGAAGGGCCCGGGCCGGGAGGGAGTTGGCGGTAAACGGCTGGTGAGGGACGTGTCGCTGCAGGTGTGCGGTCTGGGGTGGCGGGAAGACCCACGGGGGATCGGGAGCCTCGAGCTATTGTGGAAAATAAACCCCCCGAGAATTCTGTCTCACCTCTCCTTCCCACCGGCTGACGTGTGCCCTTTTGTCCGCGCCCCCGTCGGGGTTTTAAACGTTGTGGCCCCACTGATATGAAGATTCTTTCTTTCTCTCTTTCTCTCTCTCTTTCTTTTTCTTTCTTTCTTTTCTTTCTTTTCTTTCTTTCTTTCTTTCTTTCTTTCTTTCTTTCTTTCTTTCTTT